GAAATCTGACTTGAGCGAGGGTCCGACCAAGAATCGTCGAGAGACAAAACACTGATCCTCGGGGAGGATCACAGTGTACTGGTCTAGTCGATCCGCACTCTGCCTTCGGGAGGTGCGTCGGCGGTGTGGGTAACGCTCTCGGTATTAGCCCTATAGGTACGACTTCGGTCCCCTGGGTGAAGAGAATACGTGCCTAAACACTGAACCTCTCACTATACGTGTATAAGGTCGCGTACCTTGATTAAGTTCGCACGGAAGAGGGTGACCCTAGGCGTGATTGTGAACAAATCACACGAGTACGACGAAGGCAGTTTCATTCTTGTGTTGTGGGAAACCTCATTGGGGTAGTACCGTATCAAGTTTGGACAAGCCGATTTCGGTTGCAGGGACCGTTCGCGGTAGTGACCAAAAGTCCTGGTTCGTCTACAGGCAAAGTGTTGTGCTTACTCGTGGCACGTTTGATTTAGTTCACAGTCGAAAGACCCGCACTGGCCGACATACAGGGGTAGCGCCCTAAGGCATTTTTAAGAAGAGTACGCTTGTTCCACTCCGCCGGGAACAAGCACCAAGAACGTTTCCGAGTAATCGCTACAAACTTCCTATACGGGTGGGCTTGCCATTGTGTTGACTATCGGTTAACGGCTTGGGATCCCGGAACAGAAGACCTTGTATACTCGAAGAGTACATCCATTCGGCGAAATGGATGACCAAAGCTTTGGATCGGTCAGAATCGAGAAGCTGACCGCATCTAACTTTTACATCTGGAAGCAGAACATCCCGCTACTGCTTGCTCTCCGAGATGTTGATCAATACGTTTTTCATGATATACCGGAGAATGCGACCTCAGATGACCGAAGAAAGTGGATTCGTGGTGACGGAAAAGCAAAGGCAGTCATCGGACTCACGCTTTCTGATGACTACTTGCAACATGTGCGAGGGTGTAGCAGTGCGAAAGAGACATGGGAAGCAATTCTGAATGTGTTTGAGCGTCATACTTTGCTCAACAAACTTGCCGCCCGTCGCGACTTTTACACTGTATCCATGCTCCCATCAGAGAAAGTGCTCGTGTTCATCAATCGTGTGAAGCAACTTGCTGCCAGATTGCAGTCAATGAGTGTTGAGATTGACGATAAAGAAATTGCAATGGCTGTGTTGAATGGCTTGCCTCCACGATTCGATAACCTGATTGTTGCTCTTGACGCACTCGGCAATAAAGATAAAGTGTTTGGACTCGAGTTTGTGAAGAGTCGTCTGCTGCAAGAAGAACAACGAGAAAGCATGAAAACTGCTTCTGCTTCATCACCACATGCACCTGCACTTGTCAATCGTATGCCTATTCGACGCGATATGAAATGTACGAATTGCAACAGACATGGGCATACTGCAGCGCGTTGCTGGGGCAAGGACGTGAATGGGCGCCGACCTGCGCCGCCAGATGGGTTTCGGCTACGCAACACTGCCTTGAAGCCAAGTGCATTCGTTTCTCGAGATGACAATTCTACTGCTGCCTTTGGGGAGAGTGACTTTACTTGCCTGCTTTCGACTTCCACTCTAGAAAAGAGGGCTGCAAACGCAAGGTCATGGCTTGTCGATTCCGGTTGCAGCGCTCACATTACGTTTGATCGCTCTTTGTTCGTTACGTATGAACAGATGCAATCTGGATCAGTCGAGATGGGCACGAAGGCTAGAGCTAATGTCGCTGGTCGAGGCGAGGTAGAATTCATGTTGAACGTCAACGGTGGTCCCCATCTTTGCAAATTGTCAAACGTTTTGCATGTCCCTGATTTCGGATACTCGCTACTGTCTGTTAGCCAAATAGTTTCAAAAGGTTTGCAAGCTTGCAAACCCTTAACGCGGCCGTAACGCGGCATTTCTCATTTTCAAATGACACTAGTGTCATTTGAAAATGAGAAATGCCGCGTTACTGCAGGACCAACTGTAGTTGCCACAGCGAGTCAAGTTGGGGATTTGTACATACTTGACGTCATGAATGAAACCTTTTCTGCTCACGTAGTTATCCTGCAGGCGCTACATGAACGCATGGCCCATGTTAATAGAGGGTTTACGCAAGCGCATTTCTGCAACATATGACTAACATATGACTAAAAAACATTACAGTTAGTCAGATTTCACAAACGGATGTGACAAAAATTCGTGAAATGTGAGTGCATAGTGAAATCGTTTCTGTAACCGTTTCGAACACACGTGTTAGACGTGGTATAAATTTGGCGGGTACCTTCATCACCTTTTATGTAGACCTGAGTTCTAGAGTGACGTTGTAACCACCTTTACTCACATCATGGCGAACGTTATCCACTCTTCACCACCTCTCTCCCCTACCCTCGACCTCACCATCCCCAACACCCCCACCCCTGAGCGCAGCGATGTCAATTGCACGCTTGATCCCTCCCCCCACAAAAAAGGAGGCCGGCGACCAAGGTTTACGCCGGAGGATGACCTCATACTCGCACGTGAAGTATCTGCCGCTAAGGCACACGTTGCCGGTTATGGGGAAATCCAGCAGAGATTCGGCGAGGCGGCGACGCGGGCAAACCTGAACAGGAAACTGTCCCAGACGGTCACTGCCAAGAGCGTCCAGGACCGCTACAAGAAAATCCAAGACCCCTTTGAGCGACGGGACGCTGCGGATAGAAGACTGTCGGGGGTTGGCGGGGAAATCGGAAAGCTCGACGAGCTGCTGGGGATGATGGGAGAAGCGCGAAACGACATGGAAAAGGAGAAAAAGGCGGTGGCGGCTGCTCAAGAAGAGAGAGAGGCCAGGAAAGTAAGAATTGGAAAGGACCTCGTGGCTCGTTCGCTGACGCGTAAGCGCTCCGACAGCGAGGATGGAACCGAAGAAGAAGACCGAGAGGCTAACGGAGAAGAAGAAGGCCAACCGAGCTCTCGAAAGAAGCGCCGACAGTCAGTAGAACGCGCCGGAGGCGCGTTCCAGGCCGATCTGGAAAGCTTTGGCATGGCATTGCGCGATGCCCACATGGCTCGTCTTGCAATAGATAAAGAGCGTCTAGTGCTGGAACGCGAGCGCGTTGAGATGGAACAAATGGAACGCGAGAAGGAGCGCGAACTAAGAAGAGAAGAACGCACCGCGCAACACGAACTCGAACTCGAAAAGTTCAAGGTGATGATGAGTGCCTTCATGCAGACTAAGAAGTAGCTCTACAGTACTTGTCACAAAAACAATAAATTCAGCCCTTTTGCGCCTCCTTTACTAGTAAAAGTGCCGTTTTTGAGCCTCCAAACGCCCTGGCGCTGCTCGAGCAGGCCAACGAGGAGTGAGGACATGTTGAGGACTCGGAAGAGTAGACACTTTATTGTTGTTTGTGGTCGAGGTAGTCTTCCAGGGTGGGAGGTGCGCAGAGGAAGTATCGGGAGATGGAGTTCGGATACACGCAATTTCTGAGATTCGTAAGCAGCATAGCGGCGATATATAGAGCTCCTACAGGCGACTCTCCCGTCTTCATCTTTCTCTTGTAGTCCATAGTCGACCAGTACAGCTTCACTTCCTTGAAATACCACTCCACCGTCACTCTTCCCTTAGACATAGCACCGTTGAATGCGCGTTGGTGAGCGCTTAGGATGGAGCCTTGATACGGTACTTCTAGAAATGGGCGCGGGTTGTATCCGGAGTCCCCATACATGCAGTACTGCTTCCCTCCTACGAACATAACTTGCGGTAAGGACTCATCCACTCCACTCCGGCAGTAGAGCGTCTAGTCATGCTTCCTTCCCTCAATTGGTCCAACAGCATGTAGAACCAATCCATCCGGTGATGTGATGGCTTGGTATTTTAATGCATGCTTGCGCTTGTGACCATTGTACGCTACGTTCTGCACCTCCCTTCTACTCGGCCGAGCAATCGCAATAACTGTACCATCAATGAAGCCTGTGCAGTTGTCTAATGCTTCACATTTATTTTTGATGGCACATGCGTATAGCTCGGTCCTTTCACTAAAGAAGGTAGAATCTATGTCTGAGAGTACTAAATGTTGACGAGCTTCCAAGAAACTTTCCATTCCCTCCCAAATATCTCTGACAGTTGCCCTCCATGCTTCCCGAACAGCATCTCTATGTCGCGCCAGCGTGCAGGTGTGGTCAGACGTCGAAGTAAGACACATGTTACGAGAAGCGGGGAGCATACGTAGCGATTCCTGGTAGTAATGTTCCTTTCCCATGCAATTGCCGTCACCATTCGGATTACATTTTGCTTGCGGAATCTAAAGAGAGAGAGGCAACATGCATCTGCTAAAGCATTGAAGTTAAACGAACAGGAAGAAAGAGAGATGCGGTTAGAACGTTCAGAGAAGCGGAAGAGCTCACTTTGCTCGGACATACAGCGTTTGATACAGTGCATCAAAACAACACTTGTTGAAGAAGGTGAAGGTAGATGACGTCGTGCCATCAATACACGCAAGGCTGGCCTCCATTTCATTGCCCTTGCTGTGGCAAGGGTCACGGAATGGTCGCGCTGACGTCCTCTTGCCATCACTTGGCGGGTGAATGCTATCGATGCTAGTACTCCTATGCAGTTGCTCACGTTCTACTTTGCGTATATGCTCGATTGTACTCATGACCAACCCCCCTAGCTGTAATTTTGGTTTGTGAAATTTTAGTCATATTCGTTACAGAAATCCTTTTGCGTAAACCCTAAAATGTCTCCCAAGATTAATTGCGGAATTTTGTCAGGCGTGAACTCTGAAAATGTAACGCACAAGATTTTTGCATCCACAGCTGCAAACTCCAGGTGCACATTCTGGACAGAGCACAGCGTCTGGTTGCTGTAGATGTACGTACGATATGGCGCACTGACTGCGAAAACAATATCTCAGTTTGCTCCAGCATCCTGTGTGGATACCACTTGCCGGCTCATTTCCGTTGAAGAAGATTTGCATACCATTTTTTTCTGCATACACTCGAACAGAGGCCGCATGGTTCTATCATCGCCCCAATAATTTTACAGTTGCCGCGTTTGTCCTTTTTAAATGGACGAGGAAGAGAAGCGTGCTTTATTTCGAGATTTGAGAGCTCGGTGCGCTGCACTCCCCTCAGCAGAAGCATCTTCTGCTTCCGCGTCAGATGACATCGACTCATCCGCTACAGAGAGCCCACCTGCATCACTGGTTCACCCTCCTGATTTTGTGCCATCAGGCGTGGAGAACGCTTGTGGACCATCAATAGCATCTTCAGACGCCGAGACAATCGAACCTGAAGACTACGAACAGTCGTCGTTCCCGACGAAGCACCAAGCCTCAGCTGCGGTCACAGTATCCAGCGTTGGAGAAATAGAGCCGCCATCTCCATCTTCATCGGCGGAGACAGTGCCCCCTCCATCTCCTGGCACTCTTGCGCGTTACCAGCTGGCATCCGACTCCCCTTTTCCTAGTTCATCGACAGCTGCTGAACCAGCATCTGTGCGGCCAGTGTGTGTCGCGATAGATGATGTCGACATAGATGCGTGGGACGCCCAACAGCGTATCGAAAAAGAACGCAAAGAGGATCAGACTCACTGTCTTGCTGGGTCATATCCAAAGTTGGCTCGGGGTAAATTTAAGTTTGCGGCCGAACTGGTTGAGGGTAGTCAAGCTCAAGACATCTACCTGTCGGACAAAGAAAAGAGGGATGATGGTAGGAACTTTGGTGTTTTGCCGGTTGCGATTTGGAAGTTCTTGAGTTCGTATCAGAGGGATGGGATTACTTTCATGTATCGATTGTTCGAGCGCGGCAGGGGTGGGCTCCTGGCGGATGCAATGGGCTTGGGCAAAACCGTGCAAACAGTATGTTTTTTGGGAGCGGCGTTTTCAATATGGGATCGCCCTAACCGCGAACAGAATGATAACACTTTGGAAGATGCACCGAAGATTTTGGTGGTTGCCCCAGCATCTGTAAGAGAAAATTGGCAGAATGAGTTCGCGACCTGGACACCTTTCCGCACACAATTTTACGACCGGGCTCATGAGCCTAGCATTTCTCGGAAGTTGGGACATGGCGCCGTTGATGTGCTAATAGCAGGGACTCATCTGATATCGAAGTACGTTGGGGGATTTTTTTCTTCTCCGTGTGGAATGAACCGTGCATGGAAGTGGGATGTTGTCATTGTCGACGAGATTCACATCGCAAAGAACAAGAACACAAAGATATACGAGGCGCTAAAAGAGATCCCCCATACGGTTATGTTTGGGCTCACGGGGACAGCAGTACAGAACAGACTGAAGGAGCTCTGGAATGTTATGAGCTTGGTTGTTCCGGAACGGCTATGGCCGGACATGAGGAGCTTTAAAAATGACTATATTGACGTGATCACGAAAGGCACAAAAAAGGATGCGTCCCACTATCTGAAGCAGAGGGCCTCTGAACGTATCACTGTTCTGCGGAAACTTCTCGCTAAGCACATCGTCCGACGACCGAAGAGTATTATTGAATCTCACTTACCGGGCAAGACTGACTATTGCGTGTTAATGCGTATGAACAGGAACGGGTTGCAAGGCTATATGTATCAGCGTTTTCAGAACAGCTACGATGTGAAGCTTTTGCGAGACGCCAGGAGGCCATGTGATTGTGGGAGTATGGAAATATCAAAGGATTGTTGCCACAGATTTCCTTCGACTGAGGAAAATATGCGAGATGCCCCGATTTGGGATATGCATCATAAGGGAAGGGGTCCTTGTGAGCGCTGCCCGAACTGCATTTGCTTGTATCTCCAGCACTATTCTCGGTGTTTGGCTGCACATGCTCTGCTAATCATGCCTGAGGATGATGAGGTTGATCCAGAGAAATCCGCCTTTCGGAGAAGATTATTTAAATATTATCTCGGCAAGTATTGCAACCGAGCTCTAGGTCCACTTTTCAGCCTGGAACAAGATGCTGACGTTTCTTGCAAACTGAACGTTGCGTTGCGGCTGCTGAAGTCTTACGAGGCCTCAGGACACAAGACGATAATATTTTATGAGAGTTTACGCCTTGGATCGATTTTGCAGCGCTGGGCGACCAACAAGGGTCTCATTTTTGAGGTAATTGACGGGAGTGTGCACAAAGACGATCGACAGGGTGCGGTTGATCGCTTCAACAGTAATGCGGTGTGTTCCGTTTTTTTCATCTCCAAGAAAGCCGGGGGGACCGGTCTAAATATTTGCGGTGCAGACAGAGTACTTATATTCGAGCCGTGTTGGAACCCGACGATCGATCTTCAAGCCGGCGACAGAGCACATCGACTTGGTCAAAAGCGAGTGGTTCAGATCATAAGGCTTGCAGTTGAAAATACCATTGAGCACTACGTCTTCAAAACCGCCATATCAAAGTCTCAAGTCAGCAGTGCTATTCTCGATAACACGAAGGAAGAATGGCATGTGAAGGAACATGAGGTTGGGACCATGCAAGCGATGCTTTGCATGGGGAACGTTTTCACCGACAATGAGATGCCTCAGGATGAGTTTCGGGTAGTCGAAGCGGCCCGGTTGTTGGATGACGACGGGAAATTGGCAAAACATATGAGATTGGAAAACGGCTCAAGTGTAGAGAGTTCGGACAACAAAGCAGTGAAAGGGGATGGGCAGGCTCAGGATGAGATTGACGTTTTGGGCGACTCAGTTCTATGTTCACTTGACGTCAACGTTGAAGACATATCCATGGATGTAGATGACAGTTTTATCAGCGCGACGGATCGGGTCGCTCCGCAATTCGAGAGTTCCCAGATGGAAACTGACATTGTGCTCCAGGAAGGCGGTGCCAGCAACAAGATTGTTATGGAGTCAACTAGTGCTCGAAAACGAAAGCGCCAAGTCATGGGGCTTGAAAGAACGCGGAGAACGTCTGGTATTAATCCAGATGGCGCAGAGGGTGTGAACTTCGATGATACCTCGTGGAGCGAAATTCCACCTTCACCCTCAAGGGAGACATGCGATGGTGAGCAGCTGCGCGGACGATCTCACAGGTGCAGTTCATCTAGCTTTAGGAACCCAAAGGTCGTTGTGGACAAGCAGCCACCTGTTAATACGCGGAAGCGTCGGGCCCCACCATCTTTACCGCCTATGGCAAGACAGAAACGAACAAAAATCAAAGACAAAACGAGTGACATACCTGCGGCGCCGAAACCGCCAAAGCCGAGATCCGCATTCTCTGCTCGAGCCAGAATAAGGCGATGACGATTACTTTGTCGTTAACTAAAACAGCAATCGAATATTTAAGAAACACGGCTATATCCCATGCTGCTGCACGGGCGTGGTATCTGCCGTAAAGCAGCTCAATAGGTGTTCCATTCATGGAGAGTTTGTATACTGGGCTCAGAGTAAGAATTCTCTGCAACTCGGTAGAGGTACAAAGAGATTCCCGTTGGCACTCTGGGACGAGGGGCATTTGAAGCGTAAAGCTGCCAACTGCTCTAATGTTAGAATAAAACGAACTCTTTGAAAGATGGGAGTCGGGCCTTTCTACATCATTAATACGTCGGAACTGATGGATCAATCTTCCTGGCATATGCGTCAATACCTCCGATGAGATTTCGGACCTTTGTAAAACCTTGCTGTGAGAGGAAGAAACAGAAGTTGGCAGAACGAATTCCATGATGACACATGACAATGGTCTCTTTGTTCTTATCCAGGTGCAGTTCTCCCTTTTCAAATTTATCGGCCCACTTCCCATATTCCCCCATGGGAAGGTGCATGAAACCCTTCAAACTCGCAATTTCCAGCTCATTTGCCTCGCGACAATCGATCCGCTGAACATCGTCAGTGCTGCCAGTGTTGCCAGTGGCTTTCTCACCAAATCTTTCATCATACTCTACTATGGTGATTGGCCTTTCTGCCAAGCCGTGCTCTTCGACTCGAATTAGATGCCATCCAAACTCACTCTTGACTTTGAGAATTGAGCCCGGTGGGTTCTCAAATGCGGCCGTTTCAAACTCTTTCACCATTGTGTTCCTCCGAAACCAGCCGAGGTCGCCACCTCGACCTTTCGATGTACATGTACTAACAAGTCCAGCGAGCTCTGCAAAGCTTCCTTTCCCGTCATCGATTTGCTTCTTGACGGCGTCAAGCATGTCCTCTGTTTCGACGAGAATGTGACGCGCGCGAACCATTGTAGGTTGTTTCATGTCCTCCGTGCGTGGTGGTCCCGACATCATTCGCGGCGACAGTGAACGGGAGCGCCGGGCGCAGACGTAGGTTCCGGTATAGCCCCTTCCAGACAGAGCGGACGCGACATTCCGCAGGGCAAAAGGCCCGGCAAAGCCCAGCACCATTTGGTCAGTTGGGCTCTTCGATTGCGGTCGATTGAGAACACTTATGCGATGCTCTGATGGTCTCTTCTGCGTGTGTACTGCCTGAGACTCTGCACTGCTCTCTAGAGCTTAAACGCAAGGGTGGAAAAAGAAGGTGTACTAATGTGTACCTGTGGGATGAAAGGGCTTCTTACATGGCAGAGGAGATCAAAACCGACCGCAAACATCCGAAGCTGTTTAGTCGAAATCTTTGGACAAGAATTCACCATCCAGTTTGGATCATCTCTGCAGCAAAAACAAAAACAAAAAAACGCAAAAATCTGGCCATTTAAGATTTTCTCACTTCGGTAGCAACGACGAACTGCTATAAAGCCTTTACCTTTCATGCATCAGAAAACCCGAACGCGCTCGTTGACTGATCCTTCCAGCACTCTGCACTTAAAACTGCAGGTGGCAGCTCGAGGAGAGAATCTATAGAGGTGCCAGCCCGTTGTCTGCGCCTCCAGTGCCTCCAGTGCCGATATCCACTTCGGATTGTGTATTTTACTCAAAGATTGTGCCCTCGTTTCAGTAGACATGTTGCTTGTCGGCAATTTTTGTCTTGTCCTGCATCCTTTACACACGATAAGGCAGGAAGTACCGAGAGTATGTCGGCACCAATGGAGAATTGCGAACATGCCGCGTTTTATGAACCTAGACTAGCCGGGAATGTGCTTGTGAGCAGCGTTGCAAGCCTGCTGTGGGCAGTTTCACTTTTGAGACCTGTGCACGAGCATGCCAATGCCGTGCAACCAACACAACATCGTAGACGCTCGCCAGGCGCTGCAGGGGGTGGGGAGAGCCTCTGCGAAGTTCCTTTCCTACGAATAGATCTTTGTTGTAGCTGCAGGTCATGAACGCAAGGCGCATCACAATGTTGCAAAGCGGGATACGTGTGATGTTAAAATTTTGTGCATGTCGTTGCTCGTGTAACGCCACACCAGCCGTGGCGGCAATGAAGCCAGAAGCGGCTGGTGAGCTGACTCGGGCTACTTCCTGACGGATTATTCTTGCGCATGCCTATGGCCACCGGGCAGTCCTCGGGATAAGGATCCCTCCACCTCGGGCCGCAAATCGCGGCCCGAGAGCTCGGCGATGAAGGACAGCAGAGGATGTGCGCATGTTTACGCTGTGTCGTCGAATGGTCGTCCTGTTGGCATGCATTGGAATGCAAGGCGCACGCGACGGCGAGCGGGTGCAGGATCGAAATGCATGCCTGACGACGCGCACGTCTCGGCGAGGGGAGCGCTGGTAGGGGCAAGGTATTAGTTGAGGATCGCTCCAGCGCAGTGCCTTTCAAGTCGAAAAGGTCGAGGCATGGAGCCCCCTTGGCAAGGGCACCAAAGTGTCGACGACGGCCACGTCTGTTGATAAAATGGATATTAAATTAGGCCACCACAATCCTGGAACACTGGGAACTCAAAAGCAAAGAAACCAAAATTAGAATTACAGTTGAGACCGTAAGGAGTCCTACGGTCTCAACTGTAATTCTAGTTTTGGTCCTACGGTAGGAGTCCTACGGTCCTACCGTAGGACCGTACGCTAGAGTATACAGTGAACCCCCGCTAAATGCATCCCCCAAAGTGCATATCCTCGGTAGTGCATGACCTCTCTAGATTTCCTCGATCGGGAGAGCCGGGAGAGCATCACATTTAACTAAATTTAAGATTATGCACTCCCCGCTATATGCATATATGCATGATGCATTTTCGAGACTTGTTTGTTACGAAAGTTGAGAGCTACCTCCGAAGGTACCGTTCGCTAAAATCGCTTTTGTCTTCATGTAAAACTTTACCCTTCGACTACCCTTGCAAGGGTAAAAACTGCAAGTTCGACGGGTGTCCCTAAACTTTCAGTGCGAACTGTAGCTGTACAGTGTGCAGTGTAGACATATACATGTACGCGTGCTGCGTCGTGTCCTACACAGACACGTGTATCTTTCCGCGAGAGGGCCTTTCCTGGTACAGTAGAATGCTTGCCGCAGTCCCCCACACACAAGCTTCGCCTTGGGTGCCGCTACTTACCGTCTCCGTCAAGAGCGACATCGTCAGTTGCCGTTCCCAGGAGGAGAATGCGTCTCATTGCAAAGAAGCGACAACAAACTTTACATAATCCCATCGCGTAAATATCACATCAAGCACAAACCCCATCGACAAATCGTACCTAAACAATACGTTGATACCTCCTTCTTGCCGGCCCGCTTTCCAAAACCTCCTTCAAACTCACGAGGAACGCCCCAAACTCCGTCACAATAATCACTGTCCATTTGAACCAATTCCACGCCGGTCTCAGCTGCGCAACAACATCCCTCCTCCTATCTGTGTCATTAAAGGGCATCGCCACCCTCTTCGCCTCCTCCTCATTCGTGCGATACTCTCTCCACGCCCCATCACCCCTAGACAGCACCCTCGCCTCCACCACCGCCTTCACCAAAAAGTTCACAGGCAGCTTCTCCACCGCCACGCGAATCCGTTTGCGACACACCGGGCACGCCGGCCGTCTCTCATGTGCAAAGAGCGCAAACAAGCACGTCGTGCACAGCGTATGTCCGCACGGCGCCACTCGCGGAAGAACCAGCTCGGATAGACATACGGGGCAGTCAAGCGAGGCAGGCGTGGTGCACTGAGCAGTGGGCGACGATGCCGCCGCAGGAGGAGGCACGGCAAGGTTTGCGAGCTGCTCGCGCCGCAGACGACGCCGCGTGCGCACTTGCCCGATGGTGGCACCCAGCGCAAACAGTCCGAAGGACGCGGCGGCGGTGAGCAGGTTGCCGTGCTTCCCCATGGTGCGCACGTTGCAGCAAGCGGAGGGTGGCGATGATGGGCAGGGGGCCGTGGGAGGATGGCTACGTCACGATGATGCTCAAATTGCTTTTGGTGACTGCGCTTTTCGTTGTTTCTTTGGAGGCAGAGATGATTGGCTGTATCCCGCCTGTCTTGAGCGGACACTTGGATACAAATGCATATGCAATTGCAGGGAACATTCAAAATACATTTTATCAAAGGTAATTATCAAATTACTGCACCTGGACACGAGAGCGGTTCTAGGCCAGCGATGCATCGGATCCAGGACCGACGCTCTCGTCAGCCTTGAATCCTAGCATGTTCTTTACCTGCTGACGTGCGTGGTGATCGCTTCGGCCCTGTTTCGGTTTCCTCAGCTGCTGAGGTCAGCGCCATGGCGATCCTCATCTCCCGTCCCCTTTCCCTCTTCCTCATCCTCCCCACAACACTTCGACTCCGGAGTCTCCAAGCCTTTCTCCCCGCTCTCCACGGCTCGCTTCCCGCCCAACTATACTCATGCCTTATACCCCTCCCCCTCTTTCTTCTCTCCACCTATCTACCCCCCATCATCCTTCTTCCACTTCTACCCTTCCTCCCGACAGCCAAAGCCGCAGCCCTCCCGCTGGTTGAACTCTGTCTCCTTGCGGCTGTTGCTGGTCTCGGCGTAGGTCGCCATCGCGTTCCGGCCATCGCCGTCGCCATACCTATCTTTTATGCGCCGCCACCGATCATCGCAAATCCCTTCATCACTTTTCTCTCCCAATACGCCTCTTCTATTGTCATTTCTCTTGTAGCATGTATCGTCGCCACACGCTCTTTCGCAGTAGCAGAGTTTCGTGAACGCTTTCTCGCCCGCCGTCCCCCCGCTCCACCGAGAGCTAAGAGTACGCGACGAAGACAGTCCTCGGCATTCTCGTCTTTGCTTCGAAAAGTCTTTCTGTACACCCCTACCCATTTCTTCACCCTCTTACTTTTTACTGCTGTTTTCAGTTTTTCAGAGCAAGCCCTAGTGCCTTCCGGCATCGCCCTTGCCGAGCGTCTGCACCCTCGTCGCATGCCTACAAACTACTCAATTCTCGCCCAAGAACGCGGCCCCACCGGATTAATTTCAGTCGTCCAGCTCAAAGGGCAGTATCGTCTTCTCACCGCAGATATGTCCGTCCTCGGCGGACGTCACACCCGCCCTGGGTTTGCGCAAGATACCGTCTTTGCCCAATTTTATGTGCACGAGGCTGTGCGATTGACGAAGCGACCAGGGGAGTCTCCCACCGAGAAAGGCGGGAAGAATGGGAACGCGCTGTGTCTGGGGTTGGGGGTCGGTATAGTTGCAGATGCTTTTCATAGGCTGGGTTCTAGTGTCGTCGCGGTAGAGATCGACCCTGTTGTTGCAAGATACGCGAAACTCTACTTCGGAATGAGTGCGCCGAATGTGACGGAGGCGGATGCTGTGGAATTCCTGGAGCAGGCCAATTCAACCAGAGAAAGATACGACTACATTGTCCATGATGTGTTCACAGGGGGCGCTGTACCGGCTGAGCTTTTCAGCATGGATACATGGCGAGCAACACGAGACGTGATGATGGAGGATGGCGTGCTCGCAGTCAATTTCGTTGGTGCAATCGATAACCCGCCGACAACACCAGCCACGGCCGCTGTCGCTTTAGTCTACGACAGGCTGAAGAAAGTGTTCGGTCATGTAAGGGTCTTTTCCGATGGCCATGATACTCGAACACACAACCTTGTCTTTTTTGCGTCGCCCGTGCCCGAACGTCTTACATTTAGGGATTATGTTGAAGCGGATCTCATGGGTTCGGGTATTCGGAAGCAGACACTGGATACATTCCAGCGTTATGAAGTGAGTAGAGATGCACTAGGACCGGGGGTGGCGGACCTTGAGGGGAGCGATTACATCTTATACATGGGGCAGTGGGATACTTGCAGAATACATTTGCAACTGATGACGACCATTCATCCTAGAGAATTGTGGCCTGCTCTGTATATAAACGAACAGCTTGGCTGAGAGAGCCAGATGCTGCTGTGGGCCTTTACGCATCGCTGTCTGACTGAAGCAGCGCTTAGGCCGCAGATAAGCATTTCATAGGCAAATACTGTAATACGCCACCCCCACTTGTAGATCCTTCCAAAGTCATCCCAGAGTACAAGACGGCGACAGCTACGCGCCTCTTTTAAGTTTGAAACATAGGTCTTGTCATGTTACACCTGAGCCTTGTGTGTAGACTTGTGAGGAGTACCCGGTTTGTTTGATGTCTGACCCAGGCCGTTTCAAACGTAGGATATTGGAGCTCAGTCCCTTGCTTGTTCTATCTTAAGTATGTGTAATGATAGAATGAAGTATTTCCATGACTGGCGTGGCCCTTCTCGAAATAATACTCAAATCCGTAAGTTTCAAATTTTTTTTGTAGGGGTGGTTGCAGCCATTACTGAAGTGTGTTGCCGTGCTCTTTGCAGCTAGATAACAAAATGCTCCACGCATGGGCCACAGTAAGTGAGCTCATAAACATATCTACAGCAGCCATCTGAAAATGATAAAGACATTTTTCAACACTCGTCAAGTGTCTTGACTTTAAGCAATGTTCATTTGCCATACAAAAGCTCACGAATTTCCGTCGGCGCGCGGAAAGGTTTTTGAGAGAATTGGTCACGCTTGCAGCGTCGGATAACTGGTGCATGAAGCGGAAAACCATGACGATGACTAATGTCTCTTTGTTTGGCAGTGGTTCACCAAGCTAGCTAGCTCTCGAAAAGCGGGACGAGGAGCCGCGATTTCGAGCAAGGGTTTGTTCTCTCAGATCCTTCATTCTTTTCCAAATTTAACAGCAGTAGCAGATATATGCACTGCTGGCATCATTGTATCATACCTTGGGGGCGGCAATACAGCAAAGCGAGGAGTGCTGGCAAGATGGCACCGCCGGTGCCATGACCCGGTCCCTTCCTACTGAACGACTTAGTGGCGACCCATACACGTGATACAACGTCGTCATCATCATGCGGTCGGTTTGAGAAGCATCTTTCACCACTTTTGCCATCCCGCTTTCTTTGCTCGCCGACTGAGCAATGCCGACCGTTTCCGTTTCGCGCGATCGTCTCTTCGAGTTGTTGGGCAAGACATACACGAGGGACGAGTTCGACGAGCTATGCTTTGAGTTCGGCTTAGAGCTTGATGATGTCGTCAGCGAGAAGCCTGCAATCGGTTCCCGTGCCATGTCTGCAGGCGTTGAGGTCTCTGAGGTGGTCAATTACAAGATCGAAGTCCCGGCAAACCGCTATGATCTTCTTTGCCTGGAGGGTCTTGCTCAAGCACTCCGAGTCTTCTTGAAGCTCGACCCAGCGCTGCCCAAGTACCGAATTGAAGGTAGCCCCTCGTTGCGCTTTGAGGTCAAACAGGAAGTTGCTGAAGTCCGACCGTATGTGTACTGCGCAGTGTTGCGAGATATGAACATGACTGAGGCTGTGTACCAGAGCTTGATTGAGTTGCAGGAAAAGCTCCATCAGAACATTTGTAGGCGACGCACTTTGGTCGCCATTGGTACCCATGATCTCGATACCATCGAAGGGCCGTTCACATATGAAGCTCTTCCGCCGAAAGAGATCAAGTTTGTTCCGCTCTCAAAGGAAGAGGAGTACGACGCCGAAGCACTAATGGAACTGTATGAAGAGGATCCGCAGCTCAAAAAATACCTCGGAATCATTCGTGATTGTCCGAGGTACCCTGTCATACACGACAAGAAGCGTACCGTCCTTTCCATGCCGCCCATCATTAACGGCGATCATTCCAAGATCACGTTGAACACGAGAAATATGCTCATTGAGTGCACTGCCACAGACAAGACGAAGGCGAGCATTGTGCTAAATACCCTTATCGCGATGTTTTCACGCTATTGCGAAAAGCCGTACACTTGCGAATCGGTGCAAGTTGACTACGCTGGTGCGGCCACCATGATCACGCCGGACTTTTCTACTCCGCAAGTTACTGCGGACATCAGCTACATCAACAAGTCCATTGGGGTGGAGTTGCAAGCCAGTGAAATGGTGTCCATGCTGGGGCGAATGCAGCTTCCCGCGTCGATTGTTGACGACAAGACAATTGGTGTAAATGTCCCAATTATCAGGTCTGATGTCCTTCACGCGGCTGACATTATGTGTGACGTGGCCGTAGGGTACGGTTTCAACAACGTGCCGGAACGCGTTCCGGAGACTTCGACTGTCGGAAAGCAACAACCGCTCAATCATTTGGCAGACCTCGTCAGACGCGAGGGTCTCGCTCAGCAGGGATACACAGAGATATTGACATGGGTCACAGTGTCCAACGCGGAAAATTTCGGATTGCTGCGACGAACGGATGATGGTACAGTGGCGGTTAAGATTGGAAATCCAAAAACTCTCGAGTTTGAGGAGTGCAGAACATCTCTTCTCCCAGGCCTTCTCAAGACGCTCCGTGAGAATAGAAAGTCCAAGGTACCAATCAAACTATTCGAGGTAGGCGATGTAGTGTTGAAGGATGACAACGCCGAGGTACTGGCCTCCAATCGGAGAAAAGTTGCAGCGATCTACTGTGCAACTGCTGCCGGTTTCGAGGTGATACAGGGGTTGTTAGAGAGTGTGATGAATACCTTGGGAGTGAGAAGGGGGAATGGCATAGAGAAAGGGACATGGTCTATCGATGCCGCATCGTGCACAGATGGCGCTTTCTTTGAAGGTCGAAGGGCTCACATTTTCTTTGAAGGAAAGAGCATTGGAGCACTGGGATGGGTACACCCCGAAGTTCTCAGTAATTTTTCATTGAGCTATCCATGCTCAGCGATGGAGTTCGATCTTGAAACCTTTCTGTAAATATCAGGAAGGCTGTCGTATAGTATCAGTGTTGAGGGTGGCTTTAGGTGAGATTCGAAAAGGAGTGACTGTCTTCGCTCCCTAGCGGTCGTCTCTGTGGGAAGGCTTGTGCAAAGGATAAAGAGGTTTCCGATAATTGAGATATGGACAAGATTCTAGAGGCCTCGCCTCGTTTGGTTTGTTCAACGCATCGCCATCTCGAACCCTGGATACGGTTCCAAGATGCTTCCCATGGCCTGTACTGTACGTCGGGGTAAGAACAAAACAGAAACGAAACACTCTGATGGAATGGACAAGTACAGAATTTGATTGGCTCGACACTCTAGAGATTTACACTCTCGGAAATATATTACTTAACAAAGTGGCGACGTGCGCATGGTGATACTCCTCGTCGACGATGGATACTGCGCTCGAGCTGGATATGGCGCACACTTTTTGCGAGAGGCCGGAGGCAAGAGGGAAACGTGTAAACCCAAATGCAGCCAAGGGGCACGCACACCACCGGCTGCTGGGCTTTGGTGTAAACTTGACCTGAAGAATTACGCGACTGTTTTCGGAACATGCTATAAAAACAATGCATATGATGTCGCCATTGTATTCTCAGCCTCTCATTGTAGACACGAGGCGACAGGGAAGCAAACGTTCACCCCGACTGGAATCGTCCAAAATAAATAGCAAGGCAGATGAAGGCAGGTGAGAGCCAGAACAGCAATAGCCAGAACAGCAATAGCCAGAACAGCAAGAGACAGAACAGCAATACCTTTGGTTCATCATGTCTTACACTCGATTACATAGCCGCAAATTGCCGGGTGTCCTTTGTGTGCGGTTGTGGATTAGTGGGCGGCATGGTTGAATTGATTTGCTTTCGAAGTGCTCGCACTTGCAAGGTTATCTGGATGACGCAGATCATAGTGGCGATCAACATAATCAATGCCAAAATTTCAAACGTAAAGACCCAGCGCCATGGATGTTTTTGGATGTAACCAACTAAGGTAACAACGTTACCGCAGATGAGCAAGAGGCAACCGCATGCGATGGAGACTGCAGCGATGAGAATGGTTTTCAGTTGAGCAGGGGTGGGATTGGAAAGCATGGGGTCATCGGAGTCTCGACCCTTGCGCCAATAGTACATCAAAGGAGTGGCGCCGAGAAGAAAGAGGGGAATCGAGACGCCGAGACAGATGTCTTGGACGAGGCGAAGGGGGGTGGAAGAAAATTTTTCATGCTTGGCAACAGTAAAGATGAAAGGGACTAGAGCGAAGCCGAGAAGGATGAGGGCGCTTATGGCTAAATCGCGCAGCTTTGCCCGATGCAATTCTGCAACCATGATGCGTGGCACGAGCGATAACGTGCACGCCTGTGTGTGTGTGTGTGTGTGTGAGTGTGTGTGTGTGTGTGTGTGTGTTTGTGCGTCTGCGTGTGGGAGGTGTGTGGTGAGCGCGGATATGGTAATGAAGGCGGGGCGGGCGAGAGCGGACGGCGGTGCGATGGGGCGGACGGGAGAGGGTGTGTGATGAAAATTTCGCAGAGAGTGGGGCGTCAGTTGTCGGTGAGGGGTTGATGACGACTCTGTGTTGGCGGGATGGGAGAGGTGCGGGAATGAGATGGGAGAGTTGAGGAAAGGGGCGTGGAGAGAGGGAGGCGATGTACAACTCTGAACTTGTATGTAAGGGTTGCATGAATGCAAATCAGTTGAGGGCCCCAGTTGAGGGTCCCAGTTGAGGGCGCTGTAAGGGGGCGAGTGTGGTTAGGGCTGTTTCGATGGGGCTTTTTGAGTACGAAGGGTACAACCTGCGTGGACGCCTCCTGTCCAGCAATCAAAATGAAAATGTTTATTTATTTTTACTTATTTATTTTTCAGCAGAACAGTGCAGAACGGTGCTGGAGAACGCCCTTTTGGCCGTTTTGGTTCTTTTCGACTGAATTTAGGCGATTTAAGGGGATGACTGGTGAAACTTTCACTGAAAGTTTCACCAGTCATCCCCTTAAACTTTAAGGCTTGATCAATGGCCTTTCACCGCGCGTGAAAGGCCATTGATCAAGATTTCTCTTGAGGGCCTTTCTACCCTTCCCCAAAAGGGAATTAATGGACATATTTCGCGGTGGCCATCCGCCTGTCCATACTACACGTCCTGTAAACGTTTTGCGGGTATCAATCTTCTCCTCACTGTATACCCTCTCACAATAGGTCTCCTAACCAAAGACCGCTTTTCTCCCCAAAGACAGAGCACCACCCAAAAGATCGATATTCTCCGTAAATCACTTTGCAAAAACATCGCCACCAAGTCATTCAGTGCGCATCGATAGACTTTGTAAACATGGTTGTGCACTGTAGTCAACCACATAACTGATAAATATTTACGAATTCACCTAACCACTACGTCATATACCATCAGGGTCGCGATCAGGAACGCCACCCGCCCTGAACTGAATGTTCATGCGCCTTCTTCGCTTCTCGCGATATTTTTCTTGTACGAGTTTCCTCCTCCTTGCCTGGTTCTCAGCTAGCCTAAACCACCGCGTCCTTATTTGCCCATAAACCTGCCCATCCTCTTGCCGTAACGGATTCCACCTAATATGGAAATTGGTAAGTCCCAAGCACAATTTGAAAATTGGATCATACGATTTTTCGTTCCACTTCCATTTAGACCCCATGACGTTCCAAATTCCACACAGCCTGCCAAAAAAAATTTCGACAATAATTCTGTCACTTGAAATAAGACGATTTCGCTTGACATCCGTAGGAGGCATTACAGCATGCGGCGGCTTTTTAGTTGGATGAATTACACGGCAGAATTCTAAAGCTCCTTGGTATCCCTTGTCACATAAGACAGCCCAGCTTTCCGGATATTTGCCCACATACGGCCCATCGTCATCCCACTCCTTCTCCTCCCCTTTCTTCTGCAGCTGCTTGTCGTGAAAATACTGCATCCTCTGAAAAAGAGTCAGATCGGAGACTGACCCGGGCTCATGCTCGCTACAGCCAATGGCCATTCCATTCGGAAGCACGGAGACTTCCATTTTATAGCCATATTGTTTATGCTTTCCACTATAGTACTTTTTGCCCTCCTGCATGCTACCACTTGGACGGTAGCTTGGCTGGAAAGTCACATCTGTAGCATACCGAGCCACAGGGAAATGCCTAAACAAACGCCCAACATCCGACACAGCCGTCATTGTCCACTTGGTCGCGTGATGCTCAACATATTGCTCGTAAACAGGTAGCCACAGCAGGTCTACGAATTTCATAATCAGTTTTTCAAAAGACGGACCCTTCAATCCGAACATTTTCGCAAGAAAATCCCACTGTCCTCCGTGTTTTACGACACACAATGTCATAAAAAGTACGTCCTTGCCGCTATGGATTGACTTCCTACCCTGTCCCGCGTTATAGCCCTGAGATATGACACCCTGAAATCCAGACCATATTCCCAAAAACTGTGTAGGGTCGAAGTTCGTCATCTCGAGTATAGCGGCAGAACCTCCCTGCTCGTAAAATCTATCGAAGATGGGCGCATCCAAGTCATCGTTTTCATCGGAGTCGAATGGATCGCTGTCATCTTCGAACTGTCGAAGCTCGTTGCGGCGGTCCACGGCCGCATCTGCGAGCAATTGCAGTGCTGTGGCAGCTTGAGCTTGGCTGACATTTGTCATGGTTGGAACGAGAGGTGTGTCAGGGGGTGATGGAACGAAGGGTGTGGGGGGTTGAGGGAGGGAGCGAGAGTTCGGATCAAGGGGAGGGTCGAGGTTATCGTGAGATAAGAGGAAGTTGGAATGGGGGATGTGAGGGGAAGGATTGTCGGAGGACCTGGCCGCAGTCCCGATTTCAGTCTTATGCACAATCATTGAGTGGTTTGGAAATAAGGCGGGCTTTTTTGTAATAGTTTACCCGCCTCGTTTCTGACTTGATCAGCACTGTACAGCCACGTATGTGGTCATGGTAGAATATTGTGACAAATTGTTGGCATTCTCGACTTTTACTGCTGTAATCTGCAATGAATTCGTTGTTTACAGAATCTGCGCTGTGTTCTGGCAATGTATTGGCTCTTTCAGCAGTACCCTTCTAACTGTGATAAAGGTCTAATGTCTAGGTGAAATGGACAGAAAACGCTCAAAAATGTCGAGGAACGCCATTCAATGAAGCTTTCTAGACAGATCATTTTACAAGATACTGGTTAATTAAGGACAAAGATTCGACCACTCGCTGCGCTCTTCAGTAAGCCTGCGACTATCTCCATAGCCACTTTCCGCGAGAATGATCCCCGCTGTCTCTTTGAAACGCCCTTTCGCTTCACGCCCAATCTTTGTTGGGTGTTTGCAGCCTTTTTCGCCTTCGCTATCGCCCTTTGATTCGCTTTCTGCTTGCAAGCTTCAGCTTTACGAGCAAGCTCATCCGTTTGTTCTTGCTTGCGCTTAGAACGGGCAAGGTCTTTCTTGCGCTTCTCAGCCTGAGCTGCCTCCTTCCTCCGATACTTAGCCACGGACGCCGCCGTTTTTGACGCAACTTTTCCTGTTCAAGGGACAGTTTTTGGGCTTCTTGATCCCTCCTCCTTTGCAAAGATTCTTCCATTGTTAGCCACTGCGCTGGAGCGCCGCAATCGAGAGCGAAGTTTTTCTCCTGTTGTCGCCTACAGCAGACAATACCGGCGTTGGCGTGGCACATCTCAAAAGTATGATTTGAACTGTCTTATAATAATATGTACTTCTTGCAGTTTACGAGCGTGCCCGTACGAATTGGACAGTATGACCCTTTGTAGCGCTGCTACTGTTTTGGCATCAGTTACTCGTCTCGTTGTGGACAGAGAAGATTTCGCACTGTCCTCATTAAATTGGGTAGCAAAATCTGCACGGAAAGGAAAGAGACCTGCTTTGGCGAATGATGCACCTGCATCCGCAACTGTTATTGAATTATAAGCGCGAACACCACAAATAAGATTGAACCTCAAGCTGCCAGTATCCAAAATAAAAGACTTGGTGAACTCGTCCCTTATTGCTCGCATCTTTGTCTTGAACGTTTTGTTCACAAACTGATCACATGGTTGCAAAAAGTGTGAAGTGTTTGCTGGTGATACCACCACCTCACACCTATTTGCAGCACAGATTTCGAGCCATTCTACACCATTTCGAGATCCGTGGCCGTCAAGAGAAAGCAAATATGTCACATCCTGTGACAGAAAAGAGCGAACGAAAGCATTCAGATGCTTCACAAAAGCAGGCATTACGGACATCTCCATTGAACCTTTTTCTGTACACTTAATGACACCATCGCTTAGAAACCAATTCTTTTGCTCAAACTTACGGCACACATTTCCGCTCTTTCTGTATATATTAGGAAGAGGCTCGACCCGGTTCGACATAACTGGCTTCTCGGCTACAATGAAAAAGGGAGGTGCTTTACGCCCAGATGCAGACACTGCGACTACACAAGTAATATGCTTGCCAGCGCCAGCTGTTTTGGCTGAAGCGACGAAGCCACCATGATGGCTGTTTGAAGGACCAAAAAACCTTTCGCTTTTTTCCAAAAGTTGATTCAACTGCTGTCTCGTCAACATTCCAGATGCGATCACCGTCATCAAGAATGCCTGGACGTTTTGACTCAATATTTTGTAGCACTTCGAAGTATCGCTGCACATGCGAGTAAGACTCTCCCTTTAGCTTTGCGTTCTCTTTACGCTCATAATTTCGAAACGTGATTTCACGATGCCTTGCTCGAAAAGCACGAACAGCGTCGTCCGAAGGCACACAATTCTTCCATCCTTTTCGTCCATCCGCAGCGACTTCTGCCATTATTCGTTTGATTCCTGCAACGTCTACAGCAAAACCCCGCTTTGCTGCATATATGAGGCGTTGAACAATCATTTTTTCCTCATCTTGGGAAAGTACAGTCTTTGCTCCCTTTTTTGTTGCCTCGACCTTGCGGCATTGTCGTTCAATTTCATCCGATTCATCGTTTCGGAGCAGTTCTTTGAGGTTACCGACCAGC